GAAAAGTATTCTCAAATAAGAATAATAAAACAAGAATGAGAAATCACCGTAGACATTTTACTATCCTTTTGCTTCGGCTCTTGAACAAAACTGGAAATGTGTATATACTGGTATATATATGAATCTAGCTATATATTAGAATGTTGTGCATACAATAAAATTGAACATAATTAGCGGCTTCTTCTTTACCGTCATTCTTCTGCAGATCATTTTGGCTCTCGAAAGATTATACCATTTTATCCACGGATTGATGCACTTTATCTCGGGTGATTAAAGTCCTTACCTTTGTAAGAGCATTACTTTTCTCTTTGAAGCCTATCAGCAGAAATATGGTTCTGTTGATTCAAAGTTATTTATTGGTACTACTGTTGCCTTCTTTTCATCTTTTCATCACTCCATTGTGCGAGATCCTGGGGCCTTATTGTAGCAACAAGCCCCGGGGAAGAGTCCTGCATCCGTTAGCTCCAACAATGACTGCTGTAAACTGCAATAAGAACAACAAAGCGACATACAAGCATCATCGCAATCAGAACCCTGAAGAGAGAGCCGTTGTCGAACCCTGGCACGCAACATGCACTGCACCACAGTGGACACGAGACAACCCAAACAGTAGTCACCAAGTAATGCTCCCATGGCCACTGCCCAATTGATGGAGGGTATGTTTTCGTACAAGAGGTTGTATTGTCGGGAGAGTTGGCAGTAGTAGCAACACCATGACTCCAAGCAGGAGTCGCAATCTCCACAGCAAACACACAAGCCGTTCTGCCAATCCCGACGCTGGGCTGGTGGAGGAGCCCCATAGTAAGGTCCACCTCCATACTGAGTTCCAGTCCCATGTTTAGTTCCAGTCCCATATTGAGGTCCAGTCCCATGTTTAGGTCCACCTTCAGACTGAGGTAGTGGGGTGTATGGCTGTGCTGGAGTGGGGCCAGTGTTTGGCATCACAACAGTTCCAATTGGGGGGACATAAGCACCAGGCGGATTGCCGTATGAAGGATAGCCGCCTTCAGCGGATTCAGTGTTTTTCGACGCCATAAGAAGAAAACACTTTAACTAAAGAAGAAGAGAAAGAATTAAAAAAAAAAAAAAGAAGCAACAGAAATAAAAAGGAAATACAAAGAAAAAAGTGAGACAGAGTTTGTTTGTTTGTTTGTTTTTTTCTTCCTCTTTTTTTCTCGTGAGTTTCCTGGGTCCATAGACTACCCACACCCACCATGACAAGCCCACGCATTTTTTATACTTCTTAACCACGCATACACAGACTTGGATATGTCAAATCATAAACAACGAAACATTTCTTTTAAATTTCATTCAAAAA